AAAAAAAAAATAAAAAACAACCAAAAACGTCTGAAGACTTCAAGAGCTCCTTAATTTTTCCCGGCGTTTTCATCAAACTGAGAGCAACTCAACGAAGCTACAGCAACGCTCTCAACTGCGGGAGCTGGGGTGGGTTTTTTTTGCGCGTGTCCCTGCCGAGTTTTGATTCTGCACAGCGGGAAAACTCGCCGCGCCGCGGGGCTCCGCGGAGCCGCCCGCCAGCGGCGGCCCCTCGCACCCACCTGCGTCTTGGTCACCCTGTGCCGGGCCAGCTTGACCACGGCGAAGTTGCCCTTCCCCAGCGTCCTCTCGATGTCGTAGAAGCCGACTCGCAGGGGCCGCTGCTGGCCGTGCGCGGCCGCGGGCGCCGAGGCGAACTCCGACATGATCACCATGGCTCAGGCCGGGCAGCGCCTCAGCGCCGGCGGCACCCGCGCCGCGCCTGCACGGCCCGGCAGCGCAGCGCCCGGCGGAGCGGCCGCGGAGCCGCTCGCACCTGCGGGCGGAGCGCGGTGTGCGGGCGGGCGGGCCCGCGCGCGGGAGGCAGTGCGGCGGGCCGAGCGCGCTCCGGGGGGCGGGCGGCGCCGCTCGGCCCGGCCCCCCGCCCGGCCCGCCCCGCGCCTCCGTCCGCGCACCGCCCTCCCCGCCCGCCTCTTCCCCCCGCCCACCGCCGAAAGCCGAGACGGGCCCATTGACGTCAGTTTGACGCCAGCGAGACGCGCGGCCGGGCGCGGGGCTGGAGGGGAGCGGAGACACCGGGACGTTGCCAGGGAACGGGCGGCGCTGACGCGGGCGCTGATGGAGCCGTCGCCCGGGAGACCCGGGGGGGCGGTGACGTCAGGGCGGAGGGAGGCCGGGATGCACGGGGGGGTCCGGGGGTCTCCTGCCCGCCCCCGGCCCGGCCCGGCCCGGCCCGGCCCGGCTCTCCCCCCGGAGCGGCGGCGGCTCCCGAAGGGGCGTCCCCGCAGCGCGACTGCGGCCCCGCCCCGGCGGCAGCGCCGGGCGCCGTGACCCCCCGGTGGCCGCCGCTGCTGCCCCGGTGTCCCCTGCCGCCGAGGCGCCTCTGGCGCGGTGGGATGGGGAAGTCCCGCTGGCAGTGGGAAAAGCGCGGCTGCAGCCCTGCGGGGCAGCGTTTGTCCCCGATCCCGAGGCACGGGGGGGCTGTGGATGCGCTGCGCCCTTTGCACCGGTGCCTGCAGCGGGGAACGGACCCGCCTTCCCCTGCGCACGGCCGGGCTCCCTGGCCCTGCTTTCCAGGCTGTGATGGAGGGCATGCTGCAGAGTATCCCCTCAAGGGCTGGGGACACCTCGATCTGGGGACAGCAGCCCTCTGGGTCCACCAGCTGGGCACTGACAGCAGCAAAAGTAATAATAAAGACTATATATATATATAAAAATATATATAGGAGTGTGTATATATATAAAATCACAGAATGGTTTGCGTTGGAAGAGACTGTAAAGATCCTTCAGTTAGTTCCCTGCCGTGGGTAGGGATGCCTTCCATTAGACCAGGTTGCTCAGAGCCTCATCCCACCTCACCCTGAACACCTCCAGGGATGGGGCAGCCCCAGCTTTTCTGGGCAAACTGTGCCACGGCCTCACTACCCTCACAGTAAAGAATTTCTTCCTGATATCTAACCTAAACACACGCTGCATCAATTTGAAGCCATTGCCCCTTGTCCTGTCACTCCAGGTCCTTGTAAATAGTCTGTCTCCATCAATTCTTGCCTGCTTCCTTCAGGTACTGGAAGGCTGCAATTAGGTCACCCTGAAGCTTCTTTTTTCCAGCCTGAACAATCCCAATTCTCTCAGCCTTTGCTCATAGTAGAGGTGCTCCATCCCTCTGATCGTCTTGGTGGCCTCTTCCAGGCTCTCCAATATTTGTGCAGCCCTGTGATACTATTCCAACGCAACACTCAGAATACACCTGCAGTGTATACACCTGCAGTGTATTCTGAGTGTTTAATTTCTGAGTATTTCATTATCTCTGTATTTCATTATCCCTGGTCAGTGTGGAAGTGAGGCTTGGGAAGTTTCCCTTTGGCACACCAAGGCTTAAGGATGTTGTTATAGGATTGAACCTCAGCCAAGAGTCTCCTCTCAAGGTCAGATGTGAAAAAGCAGATGCACAGGGTTCAAAACAGAGAGATCATCAGCCTCCACGCAGCAGGTGACCAAAATTTTTGTACATTTGGAGTCAAAATCCATTCTAGTCTCAAAAATAAGTCTTGAATGATGCCTGCCATATCTATTTTTCAGCTTTATCTTCTCTATTGCAGTCAGTCTAGGCTCTTTCCAGACAGGTAGTTCTTCAGTCAGGAGATGTGTTTCTGACTGGAAAACTCTCCCTCTTAATCTGAGCCTCTCCCCTGACCATCACAACCCATGACAGTGGGAGGTGACCCTCCTCTTCCATCCGGGGCAGCATACAAATTAGATTTGCCAGACTACTGGAAATAAGGTAGAAAAGTTGCAGCTCTGCTTCACGCTGAAATTTCAAAGCACTTGGTAAAAATCTCTTCAAAGAGAAGACGGAGAGGAGATCTAATCAATACATACAAATATGTCCAAGGTGACAGCCAAGAGAATGGTCCCAGATTCTTCAGTGGTGCCCAGAGTCAGGATGAGGAGCAATGGCCATAGAATAAACCACAAGAAATTCCACCTCAACATGGAGAAGAATTTCTTTCCATGGAGGTGGCAGAGCTCTGGAACAGCTGCCCAGGGAGGGAGTGGAGTGTCCCTCTCTGGAGACATTCCAGAGCCATCTGGACACGTTCCTGTGTCACTGCTCTGGGTGACCCTGCCTTGGCAGGGGGATGCACTGGGTGATCTCCAGAGCTCACTCCATCCCTGAATAGTCTGATTCTGAGATAGTTTTCACTTGTTGTTGACATTCTCCTTAAGGTCTTGAATGACTCCTAGAGGGTTCAAGATAGACGTGATAAGGGAGGAAAGCAAGCTTTTTGTCAATTTTTGTAATTTTCAAGGTGAGATGAGGAAGATGTGGTGTTCTGCATAAATCAAATTGCATGATCCATGAGCTGTGTATCATCAATGTGCTTGAGAGAGATCTGTCAGAATGTTTTAGTGAAGTATTAGTGTGTACACTGCAGGCTTTTTCTCTTCGAAAAAATGGAGAAATAACACCTTAAATGAATGCCCAAACTTTGTTTTTACACAGAACCCAGGCTGTCCCAACGCTTGCTTTCTGTGAGCAGGCAGGCTGGCATTCTTCAGGGCTTGAATGGAGCTGGGAGAGGGCAGAGCTGGTGGTCAGGAGCTGAAGGACAGGAGCTGCTTCCATGGTGTGACCCAAGTCATGGGACTGCTGTGGCATGTGCTGGAGAGAGGAGAATAGCACAGAGCCAGCCTGGGCTATTGTAGCATTCAATTAGTGCTTACACAGTGCCTTGAATAACTCACATGAAAAGCTGACTTATTATTATTGTTATTATTGTTATTATTAAGCTAACAGTATATTCTCTGCGGAGCTCATGGAGAGGAGGTGACACACAAACAGCACATATAGTAGCAGCTGCATGTGAACAGTGCCCCAGGAGTTATAAAGAAAAAAATTACCTTAATAATGGTTCCTCTGCTGTGGTGGGATTTTCCTCCCTTTAATTATAGTTGCTGCTTTCATTTGAAATTGATTAAGTGTTTTAGGATGGCAAACAGAGCTGGTCTTTTTAGAAAGAACGTTCAAAGACATTCAGACCCAGCTAGGAGTGGAACATTTTTGTTTCTTTTTAAAGGACTCAGAATTCCTTTCTTCCAAAATGGGAAGAGGATGACTGGATTTGGTGCTCTCCAGAACATCTCACCATTTTCCCATACTAAGGAGAGGTGGACACATGTGCCGTGGGACTTCCTGGAGAGTGTAAGACCTCACCAGAGGAGAATCCACTGTCCTGATTTTAATTGCAGATTTTAATTGCCTGCTTTGGATGGAAGAGGCAAGAAGTGGCGAGTGCTCCTCCCTGTGAAAGGTACTTACAGTGATCTCTGTTCCAGGGCATCTGCAGTGAAGGAGGGAGCACCTCACTTCTCAAGTTAAAACACTGTTGTATCATTTGTTGAGAATTAAAGACCCCCTACCTCTATTATTCTCAGCAACCTTTTGCTGTTTCTCTTCCATTTTCATTCATGCAGGTAAAACCATGTTCCAGCAGCACTGCTGAGAAGTAACCATTGCGCAATGGTGGTAGTGCCATACTTACATCGTTTTTCTGCCACTTTCACTCTGAATGCTGGAAAGGCATCACAGACCTCTTATGCAATCGAGTTTTATCAGCTCAGAGAGGTGCTGCTGTTGGGGAGGTTGAGGCTTTTGCAGTTTCTGCTTTAACACTTCTGCTGCCCTCTGGTGTTTTAGATACCCTGGACGAGGAGTCACCTTGGATGATTCCATGATATCCGTGCTGGGGAGAGGTGTCATTACAGAGCTGGCTGGTTCATAATCAGGGAAGAAAAGCGAGGGAAGTGCAGAGGCACTTTTCAGAGCACATCCACGAGGATGTGCCTTTGAGTCCTCGAGGAAGAGGGAGAAGCTGGGAGGACACAGCTGCTAAGTTTTTCCATTGCAGCAGCTCCGTGCTCCCTCCCTGGGGGCAGCATCATCTGTGTATGGGAATGCACACGGAGGCTGATGCCTTCCAGAACTCATCTCGCAGATATTTCCAGCAATTCAGCCTTTAGTCATTTCACTCAGCATTTTCTATCGGTTTCAAAACAAACTAACAACAATAGCAACTTTCTTCACTTGGCAAAAAGAAAACAAACCAAGAAGTGGAGACATTCCTTTCTACCCATTTCACCCTCCACAGATAAAGTCAGCCTGGTTTTCTGTGTTGAATTTACTGGGGTCACTACTTGCAGTACAGCTGTAGTTATTAATTTTGTTTCTTTTCTCTTCTTTTTTTTTTTTTTTTTTTTTTTTTTTTTTTTTTTTTTTTTTTTTTTTTTTTTTTTTTTTTTTTTTTTTTTTTTTTTTTTCCCAGAAAATACCAGTGTGATTATTTTAAACGTCAGATTTGTGGAATTATTTTCCTCAACTTAATTGAATAGGACCTTGCTGAAGTCAATAGATTTGTTTCTGGTCACACCAAGTTAAACTCTGGCCTAAAAAGAAGTTGAATGGGAGGTGTCACACTGCAAAAACTATAGCAACATTTGAAGTAAAGAAGAAGAGATAATCAACTAAAATACTTTTAGGCTTATTTCAAAGACATAAGCATTATCTTGAAAAAAATGGTGTATGACTGTTTCTAATATGACTTCAAAGTGTCTTTGAATTTGAAAAAATCCAGGCTGCCACTGCAATTTTGGCAAAAATACTTTAAAGCTAGGATGTCCTTACTGAGACACCACAATGGCATCCACAAATATATTTCAGACCACTGGAATGTCTTTGGTCATAACATTGCATCACGGTTACATAATTACGATCACAACAATGATCTTTTG